GGCTTAAATACTTCTTACTAGGTGATATTCCAGTTTCAATCGATCGTTTTATCCTAACTGTACTTACTACAAACATCTATGATGTTTGCTGGTATGGAGCATTTATTACTCTACGTTGCTATTAGGTGACTACTAGCTATCATTGTACTTAACCCGTGTGAGATACCTAAGAGTAAACCACGTCAATGCTGGACCCGTAAAGAGTACCAAGCACATCAGACAGCTCGAGCTAAAATACGTGCATTTAAGGCACGACACTACTCAACTGGAACTCAAAAACCTCGTGAGGACTACCCACCTACTTGGAATGCAAGCCAATTCTTTAAAGATCTTAAGGAAGTGGATCGAGGACAAGCTACAAGTGATCGTTTCATCTTACTAGATCGCCACATGAAAGCATGACTCCCTATCAGCCCTGCAATTATCAATAGAGTATTAGACTACCATGGTGACACACCAGTCACTCAAGAAATATGAGATGGGTTCGCTACCATCCAACCTTCTACTTTCATCCTATTTCTAAGGGACATGCAGACCATAAGACTCTATCCTAACTTGTGGTTCCAAAAGGTAAATCTGCGGCTCGAACCTGTAATGAGGTCGGAGACGGATTAAGGGTTGGAGCGTAGCGACAATGATAACGAGCTTTATTTAACAGGGATCGTACATAGTACTATCCATCATTTGGTTTAAGTCACTCAAACATCTATGATGTTGTAATTGACATAAAACACATGGGTAAAGTCTATCAAACTAGGAAGGTAGTAACTATCCAACTATAAGAGTACATGATAACATCAAAGCTACTCGCGGACTGGTCATCTAATGGTAGGATACCATCTCTTCAAGGTGGCAGATGTCGGTTCGACCCCGATCCAGTCTAGTCCTTAGATGGAACCTAGTGAGTGGAATCGCTATAAAATTAAGGTTAGATTCCTGGCTAGCTTATCTTGTAAGCTCTCATGCCAGCTCTCATGTCAGTTAACATCTTAACTTATGTTCGATTTTCATGGCAGCCAGATTAGTTTAGTGGTAAAACGACTACCTTGTAAGTAGTAGTCCTGTGTTCAATTCACGGATTTGGTATTCCCTGTTTGACAAAAAGGGTCGTGGTCTAATGGCATGACGGGATTTTTGGAGATCCATGATACTTGTTCTTGGGTAAAAAACATAAAACTATTGGTAATATCACACGCCGTACTCCATGGCCATGTTCGTCGTATTACTCTTATATGCAGAATAAGAGATGTATCCTTACTCAGTAAGCTATAGTGTCTACGTAAGTATATCTAAAGGGGGTAACACTATAGGTCTGTTACTAGATGCTTGCAGCAATTGAGAGACCTCGAAAGACTACTGGTTTATTGGCCTTAGCGGCATTGCGTACTTCAACAACTAGTCAATATGCTTTACAATATAGTCATAAGTCCTTGAATGCTGTTGCTTGGGCACTTCCTAAGCTAAAGGAGGTGAATGAAACTCCATCACTTAATCGAGTCAATTTAATATGAATAGGTTTTGGGGTTGATGCATGCTCACTATTACGAATTAGATCGTAGGTGGCTTGCATTAGCGCTTCGTACCTAACTGTTTCAATGTAGACTAGATGATCCCGATGTTGAATAGGCTTATCAATATCGAACCCAGGGATTAAGAACGATTTACGGAGCGGCTTATTAATAGGACCATGTGCTTCTCCAGCTTGTGTGAGACTATCGTAAGGACTAATCTCTCCAGTTTCTGTGTTGAACACAGTGACTTTTGTCCGATCATTTTGACTCTTACCTACCAATGACTTGAATAGAGTAACAAACTTATCAGTGCTAATAAGATTCTAATCGCAACCAGGGAGGATTTCGCGTGTGAATTGAAGTGGGTCACGAACAAGACCTATAGTTTTAAGAAGTGTATTACACCATGAATCTCCGAAACATCATAGATGTTTGGTAATTCAAATTTGTGAATTAACACATTAGCTTGGTATAGAAAAACAGGTACACCTTGTTCTCACGAATAGCATTTAAACGTTCTTGTGAGTAGTTTGGGCTAGTCATGTTAGCGATTTGGCTATGATGAAGATTAGGGTTCTGTAGAAGAGTTAAGTATTGCTCAAACAGAACTGTTAGGTCTGCCACTTGGTATTGTTTTGCGAAGTCAGGTACATTAGATAGAGGGAATAAGTGAATAACAAAACCTGTCTGGTTATTCTGACGTATCCACCGAGCGCAACGACTATTAACAGACGGTTTTAGGTGTGCCCAAGGACGATCCTGGAGATGTAATGCTCCTCCGACGTAACATGAGTTATCCTTACTTACAGTGTAGGCTCCAGGTGTTCGGTCTGTTTTGGACTTCTTAGGACCTAGTAGCTTAGTCCGTTTTGTGTTACTCGCTTTATCTCCGGGATGAATAGGGTAATCAAATGGAATGGGATTAATTGTACCAAATCAGTCAAGCCACTCTTGTGTTGCTGTAGCACCCGAAGCTAAAGATAGTGCTTTGTTCAAGATCTCTGGGGTCGGTTTCTGCCTTGTAGCGATAAACCGGTCTACAAGGATGTGTGGATTTGCAGTAGCTTGGTTTTTGTCTACTTCTGCAACTTCTTTAAAGTATCGATTTGCATCTCAAGTAGGTGGATACTTCTTGCTTGATGGGTGTGCAGACGTTGAGAATCCACGTGACCGTGAAAAGGATTTTGTTTTGGTTTGAGTGTAGTTACGAGAACTCCTTACTCGTGATTTAGGTTTATGGTTTTGCATAGCAAGCAGATGGAATAAGATAAATAAAAATAAGGCAGTCAAGATAAACTACTCGACTGGCATAAAGAGTGTGCTAACGTGGAACATACCACTACGTCAACTTACCCCGGACCGAGCTGACGTCATAACCGGAGTGACTAGACAGAGCGCCACAGGGAAGAAGAATACAATAGAGGTCACCCGGGCCAGCTGCACGCGTGATCTATTTGAAGAAAAAAGCCGTATGGCCATTAACGTATTGAATTTGATGAGTAGAATCATTAAACCTTACTAGAATCGAACTAGTATGTCATTAATAATAATAACAGTTTCCAAAAGGATCAAGAAGGGAGTAATGCATCCTACTTGCTATATAAGACTAATGTCATTCTATTAAAGGGTACGGAGTAGGGTTACCAAGCATCCTCCTGCCTATATGTTGGCTGATGACAACACGTTATTGTGTCTATATACTTTGTATATAACTCTACCTATATTATGCCTTATCATAATATCAGAAAAGCTCTTAGAGCTTTTCCTATACCTATATAAGTATAGGGAAGCATTAAGTAGAAAGGTGGGGTCTAGGTACATCAGATCACCCCGAAGTACGGGTGGGGTGAGTGCATCTAGTTAGGATCCAGAAGGTTAAGCGACAACATTAACGACTCCAGTCTCTATATACCTATGCTGGAGATTACAGTACTATTAGTGCTAGCCTCTCTATAAGAGTCTTTTAGGGTGCCATTCTATCAAGACTTCCTGTTGATTGAAACAATAAGAGTATTATAGATCATGTAGGGATTGAGCTATCTATCCTGAATATGAGATAGGTTATAGAGTTATATCGAAACATCAGAGATGTTTGTGATGCTGCAGATCAATATAATAATAGAAGATTGGGTTATGGTCTAATGGCATGACGGAGCTATTTGGAAGCTTATGATATTTGTTCGAATCAAATTAACCCATACCAAGAGTGATTGAGTAAGTCAAGAGTCAAGTCGACCCTATTTTGGTTCCGATTCGTCTTCGTCTATCTATATCCAGAGGGTGTTTAGCTCAGTGGTAGAGCGTTTAGCTTTAAACTAGAGGGCCGGCAGTTCGAGCCGGCCAACCCCTATTAGTGGTACTATGACAAAGGGGCCAATCCTCTATGGTCTAGCAAACATCATAGATGTTTTTTACTGAGACCAATGATGGTCCTAGGAGCACTATACAGAGCTCGAGCATATTTCTTAGGATAAGTCGTCTATTGGTAAGGCAAACTGATTGCTATTCAGTGTACACTTACATGTTTCAAACCTCTCGGATGTTTCTTGTCCATCAAAGTGTTAGTAAGAGAGTATAATAAACTTTCTACCTTTAATATCATATAAGAGTATAATTTGTCCATTCGCACTTGGCCCATATAAGAAACGTCAATACCAGATTAACAGGCTAGCTGTGGCTTTCTCACGCCCGTAGGGCCCCCATAGGCCCCCACCATTGAAGTAAGTGAATAGATTATGTCCAAAAGCTTTACATCTCTTACGTGTGATCAATGATGGACTAATACATTATCAAGTAGATCCTATAAGCTATGAAGACTATGTAGGCTAAGCTTCAATGGGTTACTCATTATCTTCTTGAGGGGTAAGCTAGAGAGTTATATACTGGGTAGAGATTTAGACCTCCTTATAGGTAGAGTTTAAGACTAGGATTTTTAGAAAATAGCACAAACAATTTATGATATTTAGGAGAAGGATGTAGCCATACTCAAAATTAAACCAACATCATAGATGTTTGAGGGTAAGAGGATAGTATAGGAAACATCTTAGAGGTTTTTTTAGACTCTAATTATAAGGAGATCCTAAAGAAATATGAAGGTGTTATAAGGGTATCGTCTAATGAATAAACCCAGAAATACGGGAGATTTAAGAAAGCTCTAAGAGCTTTTATATGTAAATAGGCCGAGAACTGATAACTAAAGAGTAAAGGATTAAGGTAAAGATCGAGAGATTGGACCATCAATAGAAGTTAGTTTGGGATTAATCAATACAGGAGATATAGTACTAGATGGATACCAATATCAAAGAAAGCTCTAAGAACTTTTATATTTTAGATTATTAGATCATTCTTTATAAAGTGTTATGTATATAGTTTGTATAATTCTCAAAGCTCTAAGAGCTTTTACTATTAGCAGAGAAACATCAGAGAGGTTTGTTAGTATCATTAGATGTATATACCTAAATTATAGGAGAACCTCATATGTATATAGAATTAGAAGTTATTTATTATATAGGAATATAGAAGAATCTTAATATTGTAGGGTGCATTAATAGAATAAAGTATAAACTAAACCAAACACCTATGGGTTTTAAAACCCTCTAGGACAGACTATAGATTTATGAAGAAAGACCTTAGGTATTGCTTAGAAACCAATAGCGAGACTATGTAGGGATATCTAGTAAGAAAGTATATATTAATATAGGCAGTATCTAAATAATTAAGAGAGAAACATCATAGATGTTTGAAATCAATAGAATAAATAGAACATAAGGAGTGATATTATTAAAGAGGATTGATTCTTCTCTTGTACAAGTATATAAGCAAAGGAGATAAGAGATAATTAAGTATAAATGAATAAAGTAATATGGAGGGACTGTAAAGATGTATCTAAATAAAATTGAACAAATGGAGGCATACAACCTAATAAGGACCCGACCGATACTTTGGTTACCCTTGTCATCAAACATCTATGATGTTTTACCAGATATTATGTATACCTAAGTCTTAAATCTTTCTATAAGGTTAAACGTAACCTAAATGTAAATCAACAACCCATTATGCATGGACCTACTAAGGAACACCAAAGGTGTTTAAGCTAGAGGTTATTTAACATAGAATTGTCATAATTCGATATTTAATTACTAGTTAAACCCTTAGAATCCTAATTAAATGTTAAAAGTGTCTTATACTCAAAAAGACCTTAGGTCTTGAAGACTATAGGCAATATGACATAGCTTAATTAAGATAAGATATAATAATTAGTGTAGATTCTTCCATTTCTAATTAGATCATAATATCAGCTAAGCACACATATTTCCCTATTTTATCCGCCATTAATCTATACCTTTAAAGCTCTTAGAGCTTTGAGGGTTAC